AAGACATCCAGTTTGCAGCAACTATCTCATAAAACCAATTTAAATTTGTTCATGAGGGAAGAACTATTGGAAAAATGAATAAAAGATAAAGACAAAACATGTAATAGGGAAAGCACAGCAGAGACAAGGAGAGGGAAAATTGCTGCTAAAGAACTAAAAGCAACTCAGTGAGCTTCTCAGTAAAGCTATGAATTCTCAGCTATGGGTGTCCCCAGTTGAGACAGTATTAAGTTTACAAACTTAAAACTCTAAAATCTGGAGTTCAACTCTCTGAGGTGAGCACAGCAGAGTAAAGCCACACTGGGCTATCTAAAAAAACACTAACATATTAATGTAACTATAGTGGTATAATATTATCCCAAGTACACACTGCTTAAAAATCTTTAAAATATTTTAATGTATGATGTCAAACGTTCTGAAACCAAGAACGTATTTATAGAAACAATTGAAATTACAAAACATAGTACATCTTATGAACAAGAACAAGTTTTTAATTTATTTTCTTGAAATACAAATCTAACCCAAAGTGATGATTTCTAAGTTTTTCATTACATTTTTATACATGTTTGAATAATCATAGAAAAACACTAACACTGCCAAGATGTCACCGATGCTTTCTGTGAGTTTATGCATTTCAGAAACATTCAGTCCTTGTTTGGTTTAGCTGAGTATTCCATATTTCTATTCATCACTGTATGAAAATGTTAGTAATCTGCATCTTTTAAAGGATGAGCATGAAAAAACAGAAAATTACTACAAATATAAAACAGGATATGAACCTGAGAAAAGATAGTGCTAAAGGTCTTTGTTTTGGAAGACTGAATTTAAAAGTATTACAAGAGCTTGTGACACTATTTGTATCTGGACTTGCTTAGTAAAAGTATTTATGTATGAACTAGTTGCAAGCTGCACACTGCTTGACCCAAAGAACCTCTAATATATGTATCTAGTGCACAGAAAAAAAGGTCAAAGATGTTAATCTAATTTAAAATACACATCTAACAACATCAATGTTTGAAATACATTCTAACCATCAGAAAAAGAATAAATAACAAATGTCAAAAGAATTATATAAAACATTATTGTGACACTAAATAACTAATATAATTTCTGTGGACTAAATTCTGCTTTTATGTCTATTTACTAAATAAATTCTATCTGCCTCTGATCATACACTATCTTGATGCTAGGATCATATTTATCTGGCCTTTAAGAATTTAAGTTGCTTATATTTTGTGGGCATATCAGTAATAAAATGCATTTAGAAGAGAGAGTTGAAACAATAATAAAATATTTAATGTGATTAACTCGGCCATTTTGAATGATGCACATACTGCATAATATAATTTCAGAAAAAAGTATCAAAATTAGCTGATAAGATTTTTCTTAGTTATAATTTTATCTGCAAGCCCTTATGATCACAGAAAATAATATTTTCAACCTGAATAAAAATCTTCTACCTTTCATGTCTAATTCTCTGGCCACAAATTATTACAACTCCCAAAATTAAAATTACATAAAGATTGCAACATAACTAGTATATAATTAATAATCAACACTACAACTTCAAAATTTTTTTTTTAAATCTTACACATCCAACTTTCTGAGACAGTACTGAAGTGTTTCTTAAGTGTAAGACAAGGATATTCAGAAACTTAAAAATATAGTTGGTGTTGTATAAACTAAAACATATTGTGTAAGCATATTAATTTTGTAAACTATATAAGTGATACAGTTTTCATCTCTAAGGTTAGTTTTATTAAGATAGGGCATCAATACAATAGATATTTTTAGTTTAGACTATTTCTTCAAAAGATTTATCTTTAATCCTCCCTAAAATAAACCACCTTCCAAGAAACCATATTAAAACAAAAAACTCTTACTTTGAAGTTCCAAAACCCTAGTTATTTTTTAGCCTAAATACAGTAAACATCTGAATTGCACTTTACTGTAGTGAAATGTTTGTATGTGCTGTTTGTTTTTTGTCACAATCATGCCATCTTAATTATTTTTGTTTGTATGCTAGATTTTTTGTTTTAAATGATGAAGGTCTGCTTTGCTCTCAAAATGACAGTGTGAACTAGTAACCTGCTGGATGTGAAACATAATACAGTAAACATCATCATCATAGTTCATTTTATTTTAATCATTATTTGCAATTAATTTTATAACATAGTTTAAACTTTAGAAGTTTACTTTGTATTCATGTTCAATCCTAAGTTGGTGAAAAGTAATCTACCCTAACCAATGCTTGTACCCATGTTCATAGTTCACACTTGTGTTGTTTTGAGAATGTATCTCCAAGTAAACATATATTTGTAATAGAAATTAAAATAATTTAGCTAAAGGAAATTTTGTGTGAACTTCATTGAAATCCAATATGGTGCATTGATGCTGGTGTAACAAATGCATTCAACACAAAATTCATAGTGGGAAACTTTTACAAGTCATAATATACCTTACATTATCATAAAATGATTGACTATATTCACACAATATTATTACTATGTAGTAATCTTAACGTTTTGTGCTTGAAAAAAATGATCAATTTCTGCACATTACAGATTCCGACATATTTATCATTGTTATGGGTATTTGTTATATCTCCTATAACAACCAAAAATAAACCCTTTGATTTACAAGTTGGATCTATCCCCCAAATTTCATAACTCTACAAGACCCTGATCCTTCAATTTGACACACTTGTTGAATATTTCTTTTATTGCATTGCAAAAAAAAACAAAAACCTGTTGTATGAAAAAATTTGAAACTTTAAAATATCTTTCTTCAGATTATGTTGCTTCAGCAAATAAAACTGTTATTTTTATGCATGATATTTGTAAGAATTCACAGCTATTAAATTTTTAAAAGATTTCATTGTCATATGGTTTCTTAAAAAAACAATAAAATGCTTTCCTTTGTTGTAGGTTATAATTACTGATATTTTACGTTTTTCTACATTCTTTTAAAACTTTCCTATAAAATTTTATTCTATAGTATTGTGAATTTTATCTTTGTTTTGAATTGAAAAACAAAAAACTGCTACTGAATAATAACTTAACAATAACATATTAAATTTAAAAGCAAGTTAACTCATTTATGTTTTATTAAAAATTTTATTTCAGTGATTTTCTTTGTAGATTTAAGTAGACTACTTAGATTTAGTGAAAAAAGCCTAACACAGTAGCCTTGTTGGCAAAACGAAATTTAATATGATCGACTGCAAATAATTTAACTAAGCCTACCTAATCTTCTTCCATGAAAACCATATAATGTATAATATTATAAAGCAAGCTTTCCACCACCTTCTGAAAAGATCAGCACTATAATTGTAACAGATGTTGTTCACAAAACTATTTTCATCAAGTAACATATCATTTAACTAAACTTTTATCACTTTGTTCCAATTCATATCCAAACTTTCATTGAACTAGAAGACATACTGGCTTATGTATAAACAGTTGGAAGGAACAGAAAAATGAATAAGAGTTTCTATTATGTGTTTAAGTCACGTGCCTATAATTTCTCAAGGCTGATATACAGACAATTACATCATACCATAACAAGTAAAGTTAAGAAACAGAGATTGGCTAAAAATAGCTAAAATTACACTTATATTTAAGTTACAGATCATATTAGCTCTGCTTTGGCCAAAACTATTATGACTTTCTTCCTAGCAGGTTATGAGTGCCATATTATGCTCAGAAAAAAATCAGGAAATTCACACAATTATGATTTTATTTTAGCTTACTGATATTAAGCCAAAATAAAACTTTAAAATTAAAAAAATAAATGTTTACATAAAAAATTAAATAAATAAAACTTTTTAATGTGTGGAAGAACAACAAGCTTATTTTCTATAATTTTGTAATTCAAAGGTGAAATTTTTGCCCTTGGGGTAGGCTTTACTCATAAAATAAGGCAGAATAGAATGTAACTCATTAGTATTATGTAAAACTAAAAACAAAATACAAGCTATGTACAAAAAGGTAATTTTGAGTCAAATTTTAAAGAAATTTATATTAGTGACAAGCTATAAAATCTTTATCACATATAACACAAAAATGTATACATCCAGGATATATAGAAAATTAACTAAATTCCTGGTGTCATGTTAATGTTCTAGTAAAACATTTTCCTCAGCCTAATGCTATAATGTAAACAAGCCACTGCCAGCAGGGGTTGGACTAAAAGTTTAATTTTTTAATTTCACTGTTTCAGTTTTTACAGGCTAATGTAAATAATGTTTACTCTTTCTGAAATAAATCACTTGAAAGAAGTTACAGCAGCTATTTTTTTAAATGAAACTGCCATTTTGAAATGAAGGACTCTTCACTAAACATTCATACTCAGTATGCATAAACAATACTGCCTTATCACTGACCAATTAAAAGCAATTTAACCAAATATTATTTTTTCTTATGAAATATATGTATTATTATTATTATCATTAAATTCAACCTTATAAACATGAGTGTAGAAATATTTCTAACTAAAAACTGTTTTCTTTCAATGAATTATTCTGCACTAATTAGTTATTAAAATATAGGATGCTATTTTCTACATTATGACAGAAAAAACTGATGAACATTTACCTGTCCAACTTGAGAATTAGACTGAAAAAATTCTTATTCAGAATCAAATAATGGTATTGAATCTACATAAAATTAAAATGTGTATTAAGGTTAATGGTTCTACATGCTTTTTACATAAAAATTACAAAATGTCAGAGGTAAAAGTGAATCATATATAGATAACTAAATTTTTCTTGAAACACTGAAAAATAATATCCCTATTTTTCCTTTTTAATTTTCTCCCTACCATTTGTTATTTAATTGAAACATTAAGCATTTGTGTCCTATGTCTTGAATTCAAAATTGGTCATAAATCTCAAACTATACTCTTCAAGCTTATAATTCCTATGTGTACACAACACAATATAGTGTTTGTAGTTTAACTCTGTGCTTTAAGTAGCCTTATATATATATTCTTCATTGTACTAAATAGACAGGTTGGTTAACACTACCAGCAACATAACTTGTGGTTTCCAGTGTACAAATTTCTTCTCGTTTTCTGCTATGTGGGTAAAGGTATAGAATCAATAATGTTTAATGAAAAGTGGTTGGACTTGATAATGGCACCATATTCAGCCAGTGGTGTTACAAAGATACTGATTTCAATGGTTACTATATTTTGTGTAACTAGTGTGTTCAGTGTTACAACAGTGGTGCCAAATACGAAACCATGCAAGAGGTGCAATAATATTTCAAAAGAGAGAAAAAGTTGGTGGAACTCAGTCTCATAAACTTATAACAAATAGGCCATCAACTACAACAGTGACAGTTAGTGCCAACCACATCATTAAACACCTATTTACACTTTAGGAGTCCACAATAATGTCTGAGATACTATGGGCAAAGAAATCTGTATAGAACAACTTCTCATACTCTGGTAGTCATGACTTGCCACAACTATTCTAAGATATTTTTCTGGGAGATGAGAAAGCCATGCAGTTTAGCAAAAGCAAACAGTCATACATATGTAATGATGGTAGTGAGCCTTTCACCATGCAAGAATTTTGTAAAAATTTAGAAATACTGAAGTGCTATACATTTTAATACAATAAAACATCCAAGTCATAGAACAGAAAACAGCTGGATATTCTTGTAAGATATTGGTCTGAAGAAAAAAAGAAGAGATTGCTGTGAAATTTCTGAAGGCACTCTTTATGTGGGCATGCCCATGGAAAGAATGTTGTTAAAATTATTTTGTCTATAATAGAAGAACCAGGCCTACAGCTTATGCCTGCAAAATTGATGAGTGTAGGACCCTGATGATCCCAGTGTGTAAAAACCAATCTTCTTTGAAATGATTTAACACTTGGAGAAAAATATTTCTCATCCACAATGTTTTTAGATAAAGATTATCAGTTTACAGAGAATCAGCTGAATAACTAGCAATGAACTTGTTTCATTGCCTTAAGTTGTCATCTTATTAAAAAGAGTTTTTAATACTTAAAATGGAATAGCCTTGGAAAAGGGAATTTTTATCAGATATTTTGAAAAACCATTGACTCACATTGTTGTTTGCATTTGACAAGATCCTCAAAATGTGGGAACCAACCATGAAGTATTCTATTAAGGATTTCCCACAGCAAATCACTGGTTTTACTAAAATTTATGAGAGATACACAAGGATTATATTCAAAACTGAAAGATCTTTTGATTAAAATACACATTTTGTTTCTGACCAATACAGAAGCAGTTTTAAATTCATTTATTACCCATTTTTAATGAGAGGAGCCCCTAATATATATATACACTACATCACTGGTCCCCAATTATTTTCCACATTAGTACAACCATTTCAGATTATAACTATAAAGCCAAGAGCAAAATCTGAGCTCTTTGGGGAATACATGATTCCCAAATACAGTTTTGCTTACTTTTGCAATATCTTATCACAGCATGGTTCATGAATCAGGCTTCTAAGGCCTTACTGTATCCCAAGGGCCATCCATTGGGGTCAAGTATGTTACATGATTAAATAATTACCCTGATAAAGAAGATTTTGGGTAGATTTATGCTTAAATGAGGATTACAGAAACTGGTGAAAAAATGCTACTAATCTATTAACCAACTTCTAGATGAGAATCTTGAAATACAAGAAGTCACTAGGTAGGTCATTTTTAACCTGAAACCAAATCAGCATCACAGGCCTTACATTGAGATAAAAAATATTCTATGTACCAGCTGACCAAAACATGGTAGAACATTTACCCCTGGACAGTAATATTTTACAGAAGCTTAAATATTTAAACTCCTTGAATAGATAAATGATTCAGCTATAGATGCAATCAAGAAGCTAGCAACCTGAATACCATATATTATCCTTGAAAAAAAATGTATCCAGTCTGTACCCGAAAGAGGATATCCCAGATAGATTATTCTTACAGGGAGGAGATCAGAGTATGTACAAAAGAATTTATCATTACTGGTCAAAGGCTTTCAAAATTTGCAGATGGCTAGTACAAATACATTTTTATACTAAAATATATGAAGGCATTTCTGTGCATGGCTCATGGCAGTGTAGATACAGAATGAGGTCTGTCTGTCAAATACTAGGTCCAGAGAGAACCCTAGTGACTGATGATCAGATTAATATCTCATGCAGTCTAAGAGATTTCATTAAGGTGTAAGGAGGAAAGATGCATAAAACAGAAATCACTCATGAAATAATAAATGCTACATGAGCTGCCAATAAAGTCTGGAAAGAAAGAAAGATTGAGAAAGAGAATGAAAAGTACCAGGAAGCTCTAGAGTGTGAAACAGAAACTAAACAAATCCAAAGAAGAGGAAACTGAGAGACTGTGAGAAACTTACAAGAAAATTGAAAGAAATATCAGTGAAATGGAAGCTAGTAAAAGGTTCCTAAAGAAAGAAATAGTAGACTGAATAAAGCACTTAAAGTAAAATTTTAGTGAATTAGATTATGCAAGGTTCACTTGAAGTTGCAAACAAGAAGTGTGGTGATGCCAGAGATTGATATCACCTCAAAGAACAGAAGAAAGAAAAGCAAAATGAGCATAATGTTAGATAAATATTCTAATCTATATAATCAAAAAGAGTAACATGTGTGTGCATGGGAAGCTTTTTAAACTTCATTAAACTATGCAAAAGTGAAATTGGGGGGGGGGGAGTATGGATGATGTCACAATATGTGTGTGGGAAGCCTTTTAAACTTCATTAAACTATGCAAAGATAAAATTAGAAGAAGGGAAGTACAAAAAACATCACCATATGCTTAAAGGGAAGGATGAGTGTAGATAGTACTATGTATTACCAAGGGAGAGGTATTTGGGGAATTGATCTATCATCCTTCAGAGTCCCATCTCAAACATCACTGTTTATGTGTTACGGTTATGCATGTAAATTTCTATACAGACACTTAAGAGTACTGGTACCATCACCCTGTTGAGTTTTAATACCTGCCCTTCATACCAAGGTTTTGAAAATGTTGTTAAATCAGGCACCTCTTACTAGATAAGTTCATCAGTTTGTCATTTTTGATCATGCCATTTGGCTCAAAATGTCTTTTATACAAAAGGTTTTGCATGGATATTATGTTGTGGAATAGGACAGAATTGCCATTACATTTTATAAACTTGGTGCATTCAAGTACAAAATACAACAACCAAGACATATTTGGTGTGTGAAGCACAATGTTTCCCCCTGGTATGTTAAAAACAATTCTGACTAGTTGCTATGAATTAGTTGCAAAACTGCTTTTATTAGATATATTAGTTAGTTAGCTTAGATGAAGCTTCGTCTAGCTTGTGTTACTGTGGTGCATTGGATTTAGCAGGATTCAAGCCTTAAATCTGCTTTTAGTTAATTATTTTTCAAATATTGCAAGAGACATCTTTGCTTATAATTTATCTGGTGTATTAATTGTGGCAATAATCAGTAGCAGTAGTCAACTTTTAAAATTACAGTGTCTTTATGCTTAGTATTTAACAAAAAGAACAAGAACTGCACATTTATAGTAACCTGTCTGTGCACTGTTGATGTTACATGACTTAAAGTAAATTTCCAAGTACAAGACATTGACTATAAGCAAAAGATTGGTGACCACTGGGAAAATCAAGTGTAATCAAATACAGCATTTACAGGTAATATGGAACAACTAGAAAAGTGTGTAGGTAAGTAAGGAGAATTGGATAAATTTTTTGTGCTTTTGCAATTTTTTATCTGTTTCCTACTGATGAAACAATTTTCTAGGGAGGCCTATTTTTTGTCATCTTTTAATTTTTATGTATGGAAACGTTTATGCATAAATTTTGTTTCAAATTAAAACATGATGAAATCAGCTTGAGATTTATGACTTTTTTTGCTATCTATTAATAACAGTGTATATGGTTTTGTGCCATCTTGTGACCTGTTTTCTCCCTATTCTTTGACTGAAAATCCCTACTTTATCCTCACTTTTCTGTGGGACTCTGGTAAAAAGCCTGTAATAAAGAAGTGCAATACTGAAGATGAAATAATTAATAACTTTGTAAAGTAAAATATCTTCCATTTCAAATTACTTCAGGTTAAATAAATGTAAAAGTTATAATTCACACTCTTAGTTTGTTTAGAAGTATTTTTTGCTTCAAGATTCGGTTGTTTAATGCATTTATCCATTTCACAGAAACAAAAACAAAGGTATCAGTGAGGTCTAGCTGTACATTTTTTTATGAAGTTTGATAATCATCTGAGTGCCTAAACCATGAAAGGAAAAGGAGCACATACCACTCCACCTCCAATATATTTTTATCAAAATATTTTCTCACCTTACTTCACTAGTCAGTTTTTTCTTGCCCCCCCCCCCACACCACACACTTTTAAACAACATCAATTACCCACAGCAGTCAACACATCACACTTCTCAAAAACTTTACTGTCCTCTCGTCACAAACTCTTGGCACTATCAACTTGAAGCTGCTGCAACGGTTTAAGAAAATAAGAAAGAATATTGCTAGCAGATTCCTTCAGAAGCTCCTTCACTGGCAAGGAAACATTCCCAATTTCAACAGCTTTGTTTATGTTCAGATGATAAATACACTTTTCTCTTGTCATGCACCTACTACACATTAAGTGCTGTAATCTGTATCCCACTCTAAACAGATATATTTCTGTTAATCCTGGACATCTCAAGTCATAAATTAATTTGTTTTATCTTTTTAGTTATTCATAAAAAGGATATTTAACAGTATAACCTGGTTTTCTTTAATTATTTTGTTCTCAGTGAAGTTTCTAATGCCTTATTTTGTCCTTAGACAAATGGAAATACAAACACAAAAGAATTAATAAATTTCTCTCAATTTGCATCATTTTTCAGCCAAAAGGCTGGCACCCATTGAGGCTCTCTCTCTAAGATGTTGATTTCTTTTACTAGTTCATTGTAGGCCTTGTCTATATCTGAATTAATGATAATCATATCAAAGTAGTGGCCATAATTGTCTTCCATTTCACGGGCCTTCTCAATGATATCTTTGAGTTCTTCATCTTTAACACTGGCTCCCATTTTTGCATAGTTCTGTCTTAGTTTCTCTAGAGATGGTGGAGCCACAAAGACCACATATGGTTTGAGATCTGAGTGTTTCAATATCTTCAGTGACTGGAAAAAAAAAGTTCCAGGAACAAACTGAAACTATAAAATCTAATTTGAAAATTACAACAACAACATCAGAAAAAAAATGCATTTTTTTAGTAGAGTTGCTATAACTTTATCAACAAAATTCTAAAACAACATCTATTATTTCTTTAATTTTAAGCTTCTTTATTTTGCTTGTGATAATCTTCCACTTTCTAGAAATTTCATATCAGTTATTTATAAAAAATGTTTCTCTTGCAAATGCAGTTTATTTCTTATTATGTCAATAAAGATATCTTCTTTGCACATTTTAAAATTTTATTTCAAAATCTTTATTTTACTACAGCCTCAACATATTCCTGGTAGAGATGCAACGATGCACTCATATATCCAGTGAATTGAAAAAGCTGCAGATCAAATAATATTCATTACTTGCAATCATCTCAAACAAATATATGTGATTTTTTTTTAAATTTTTATCGCAGCAAGATGAAGCACACTTACTTTTTTCATTACATGTTCAGAAAGAGAAAAAAACTGCTAAATAGCTTTGATATCTTCAACTGGAAGCTTAAATTCTCGTTATTGTACAACTATACTGTTTTGCAATTACACAGACTAATATAATGGCACGTTTTTATGACAATATTCAACAGAGATCAATACCAATTAACTTAGTGCTACACAATTTCAGTATACCTATATAATTGACAATGTTATTATTGATATGATTCCATAACATATACCAGCCATATTACATTTATAAAACAGTACACCTCCCTAAACCTAATAATCCAGTAATTATATTCTGCCTACCTCCAATCAAAGGCACTGAATTATTCAAGATACAATTTACCTTGCCTTTAAAGTAAGTTATTCTGGAAACAGCATGCTTTTTATTATCAAAAAGACTTTTCTGCTGTGGTACTTATCAGTAAAAATAAAAAGTTCTAGGCTTAGCACACTCCTTTGACAAAGTTTATACTGCTTGTTTAGAAGAATTTTGGTTTTCCAGAGTACAGGGAAGATGATAGGATTTATCTGAAGTTTCTGATTACAAATGTTGAAATTAAAAAAGTGTTTTATCTCAGTACTTTGTTTTATTTAGACTTTATAACAATATTCATGCACTTGTCACCTCATATTTGCTACATGTATCATATTCCCCATATCATATTTGGTTATTGCCATAAGTCCTAGAGTATTAAATTATGCTGGAAGAAATGTACCTTTCTTTTGTTGTGCTTCTTGACAGACATCACTTTACATGTTCCTCCAAAAAATGAAGGATGTAGTCATTATAATTTATATCTCACTATAATGATATATTACTTCATACAATGATATTTGTACCTGAGGGTGTAGATTCAACACACAAATCTTTCCTGAGTTTACTACACTGCGAATTGCATCTAAACTTGTTCCATAATAATTCTTTTCATATTCTCCATGTTCTACAAATTTTCCAGCAAGTATATCAGCTTCAAATTGAGCTCTTGTGATGAAATGATAATCAACATCATCAAATTCTCCATCTCGTTTTGGTCTACTAGTATCTAAAAAAATTTAGTACATACATTTAGATTTTACTGGATTAAAATCTTCACTCAAATTACTAAATGTGAAAATAAAACTTTATAATATTTTCATTCCTCATTGTTGTAAATTATTAGGTTGCAAAACAATGCATAAAAAAAAGTTATGATAAAAAAATGTAAGAAAATATAAGAGTGATAGCCCATTTCATAACTAAAATTAAAAATAAAACCTCGAGACAAAAATATAATTTTTTTAAAGAGAGAGCATGTTTTATATATTAAAAGAGAGGGCAATTGAAAATGTCTAACTCCAAGTTTTAAGTCTTTGAATTCTACTTATTGTTCATCAGATCATATCTTTATAGATAAATCTAAATCTTAACAACATACGAGGTATAGCAGCTGCAAAACGCTCTGTATCTTCCATTAGCCTTTGTCGCAATTCGTGACGTCCTATATTAGGTGGGCCAACAAGAACTACTGGTCTTTTGTGATTAGCTCTAGGGTAATATAAGGCTACTTCTTCATATGTAAGTATCTGTTCTAAATCACATTCTGAAATAAAGAAAACCTGGTTGTAACAATATGAAACATATTTCTAAGAAAAGTGTGTAAAACTTACCTATAATATTAATTTTCAATTTTTCAAAGAAAACTTTTGTGGTTAGTGTTGCTCTGTGTATACAAATAGTAAAGATGCATAGGTTCAAAGTATGGAACTAATGTACTTTTAAAATGAAACTGCAAATGATTTATGCAATGTTCTGCACATAGCATTATAAAGAACAGGTGTTAAAGTACTGTTACGTCTCCGGTTGTTAATTAACTTTCCACAAGTTCTTTACTTAATAAAACTGATTTATTCTTTCCGAATATAACTTTACCGATACACTCAACTTCAACAATCGCGTTAAAACAAACGCTAATCAACGAACGTCAACAATACTTCCGACTGCAGTTCAGTTACTCACTATCTATACCTCTTTTATATACCAGCGTACCCTATTTCTAGTAAGAACTTGAACATTCGCCAAAGTACATGATAGTTCTAGAAACGTTGCGTCACGGTGGTCATGTGACTCGCTGACGCAACAATATAATAAAAAAATGCATGTTTGTCTGAAGATTTAAGCAGTATTCCACATCTTGATCAGTTGACAAATGGAAACGAGATCAAACAAGATGACTGCATTTATTCTGAGCTGGTTAAGAAAAAAATTGGAAGTTTAAAAAATGATAAGTCTCCTAGGCCAGATAATATTTCCTCAAGGTTTTGAAGGAGGTTAAAGATTAGATATTTGAGCCACTTACTACTATTTTTTGTCAGTCCTTGAATAGTGGGCAGGTATCAGAGGATTGGAAGTTAGCTAATGTAACTCCTCTTTTCTAGGAAGATGATAAAAATTATCCCAGTAATTATACACCCATTAGTCTTCAGTTGTGGGAAAATTTTT